GTCTCACTGTGACTGAGTACTGTATCCCAAACACTCACCCTGCTCCCTTCGCTCAACATGCTTCATATCATGTAACAGGCATCTACCACTTCACATCCTGTGAAGGGGGGGGTTGTGAGACAGGGGGGTGCTGCATCGGTCGCAGATGCTGCTGTGCACTCGCAGCTCTCACAAACTGGCACCCCTCCAAAAGTTTGGTGGGTCAGTGTATTAAGCAGGACATATTTGAAATGGAAATTCTGTGCTATTGCATGGATTTCTTCTGCTACTGCACAGACTCTTCCCTCAGCTGTTTCCTGCATAAACAGACCTACCCCATTCATTTGTTGAGAGCCTCACCTTAACTTTGTCACCTTTGATCTTTGCAGATAAGCAGTCGAACACAATGACTACTGAAAAACATGCAGATCCAAAGTTTACAAATATCCAAATATTGATTAACAAATTATTATATACTTTTTAACTTTAATTGCAATATAACAGATCTTTTAGCGAAAGAAAGGAAAACTAAGCTGGAAGAGCTGTGAACACACACGTACATAAAAACTGGTGTTTCGTCAGTTCAATGATGAATTTGATTTTCGAGTCCTGCATGTATGTGTGAGGGTTTAGGGTTAAGCTGATCTTAACAGCCTTCAGGGAGCGACATATTCAGACAAATGCTCTGGAGTAGCTGAACAAAATAATATACTGAACCATATGAACCGTTACGAGCCTCTCACAAAGAATCCAACCATAGGACCAAGCTATTGATTACTTCAATCCAATGACTATTCTATACAGGAAAGAGCAAAGTTCAGACCTACAAACAGACACTTGGCTGCCATTATAGAACTCAAGCTGCAATAAGAGCGCTTCTGTTAGTGTGTGTGCATCGTCTGAGGTTGCTGTAATCACATGATTGATGGGGTAAAGTATATGTTTCACTTTCACAATCCAGGTTTAAAACATTCATCAGGTTTTGGACTGTTTGTGCAACGAAACAACCTCTTCTGTGATGGACATTTTATGCACCAAAACCAGACTATTCACTCAATAATTGAGAAAATGATTATCAAATTAACTGATAATAATCGTTAGTTGCAGCCCTACTCTGAATACATGAATATACCCTTGTATTATGCAGCTAGGTTGCCTTCTTGGCATGTCTGGAATAACAAATACTAAAACATTCTAATTGTTTGGTGTTCACCTTCTTGTATATTAAGTTATAATGAACTACAATACAACGATTAGTTGATTAATCGTTAAGCTGTCAACAATTAAATTCAACAACAACTACTAGTAAAAATAGTAGTTTTTATTTAAAACCAAACATCTTTCGCAGAGCTTTAAGCCTCAGTAATTTCATGACACTCACTTCTAAGAACAATTACATAAGATGCCTGCATTACATCCTCAGAAGCACCTAGGCGAGGCCATGTTTTTATGTATTCGCAGGGATCAAGTCAAACAGACGACATGACTCCCTAGCAGCACATCTGTAGTCAGATTGTGTTATAGTACTGGAAACACAGAACAGGAGAGCAAAAACAAGTGGTTCAAAGACTGGCTGAGAGTTTCTCTCAGGAAGTGCACAGTCAGACCTGAGGACCATCAGGATGCTGCAGATTAGTCCAATCACTTGCCAAGTGCATTGCCTGGAAGGTATTCAAAAGCTCAGGAGGACCGACAGAGAGCGACAAAGGAGGAATATGACTGGCACATCACCACAGGTTCTACTTACATGTGCCTCTTCTGTAATAAAGTGTTATCAGAAGCCATTTTTGTCAGTATAAAGTGTGTGTGTGTATGCATTCCCTCGGAGTGCCTCAGCCTGTCTCCCTACAGGCCAGCGTGACAGCCTTCACTCTAATTATGGCTCTGCTCTGTTTCTGCGCTCCAGATAGGAAACGATGGTTCAGATGGTTCAAAGTCAAACTTGCATAGAGCAGCATGAATAGGGAGGTCAACGGGAACACTGACATCACAAGCAGAACATTTGGGTTACTGTCCATTTACTGACTTATAGCTTGGGTCTGGTTGCTGGCTGGAAAATAAATGACATCTATTTTGCTTGAGTAAGATATGAAGATACAGTATATAACGCATGTATATAACATTTCTATGTGCAAAGATGTATTGGCAGTCTCGAGAACTGTTAGTGCTTTCATGTAATCAGAAACCCCCTGCTATGACACAGAGGACAAAATGTAAGTCTTCGCAGCAAAGCAATTAGCACAAGCACCAATGTGTTATCATTCATAAATCCTTGGAAAGGTCAGCATATTTTATGAAATCACTGTCTACCCTGATGAGTGATATGATATAAACAAGCCAAAAATTATCACTTCTACTGGTGTTACATTTAGCAGGTTTTCCAGGACATTTCCTTGCTTTATGGGCAGTTGACCAATAAAAAGCTACCCTGCGGCGCTGTCTTGTAAACAAACAAAGATTCTGTTTATATTGACTGTTTCATATCCTGTGTATGGTGAAGGTCTGACAAACATGATGAATGCACAATCTTCCTCATAAAACATACGCAACAAACATGCTTTAATTGTGAAAAGTTTACATCCATTTAAACTAGCTTCTTCTTCCTTGAATTAGTTGCCAATTTCCAAGTTTCCTGGTTCATTGTTGCCAGGGCATGCATGATGTAAACAAAGCCACTCATGACAACATTGCTCCATAGCAATCCCAGACTAGTTCCTCAAATAACATGAACCATCAAATGCAAGCAGCTACATGTTTAACAGTTCAGCTATACGGGCGGAATTTCTCATACTGAAGTTGCAGCATATCCCTCAAAGAAATTACAAATAAATAAACTGGCCATTTTAAAATTAACGTTAGCCCTATTTTAAAAACACCATCCTGCTCATTTGAATAATGACAGTCTGTCAACACGAAAAACATTGGTTCCCAAAAAAAGTTGAACTTGGCTTAACCATCCAAAAAGCTTTTGTGTTTCTCACCAAAGATAAGTGATGTAAAATCCTGTGTCTAAGTGTTATAAATGCTGTGCAGAGTCAATGGGCTGTTGGTTACTCCCTTGATTTGGGGCTCCTACTATAGCTACATCTGAAAATTAGTGAGCCACCTATTTACTGAATTCACAAGAAAAATAATACACATGTAATCTATAAATAATGACCTAATGTACAAGCATTACACAAAAAACCTGAAAACAATAGAATGCAATCACTGCAAATACTGACCACAGAGTTGAATCACAGCAGAAAGACAGCCTCAGCAGTTTCATGCTCACTTGTGCACATCAAGGTTTGTATGAGCACCTGTTTTAACACCTGCTTTGGTAAAATCTATGTCCCTGGGATGTTAAAATACTGCAATGTCACACTAACTATGCCACCAACTTCTTTATCCAACATCAATCAGTCACGAACACCCTTTCCCTCATATGTAGATTAGGTTGGTGCAAGTGTGGCTGTCTAATGGCCCGGTAGATGCAGCTGGTCCTACACTGCAGTATATTAATGGTGTTGGATAATGTCCTCTAGAAATACAAGTTAGAGGTCACTGTATCAGTCTTTGAACATATGAACTGGGCCTCATCTTGGGTCATGATACAAAGCACTGCAACACCAACTCAGTGTATTGGTACATGATGGAATAAAAACTGAAATTATCAATAAAGAAATAAAACAAACGTTCTTGTATGGAGCTGACTCACTTAAATGCCTGCGCCTCTTGACTCTCTGTGAAAGCTGAGCAGAACAAGAGGAGACCAGAGGTGACGTGGGTGGGTGTTTCGTGCTATTCATTGATACAGAAAATGCTTCAAAACAGAGTTTTGAATGAGCTGGAACAAAAATTCCAAGTTTCATTCCAGCTTTTGGCAAAATCTGCGTCACAAGCAGCCTGAATGGAGCCAGCAGAACCTGACAGAAACCATAGACAGACACTGTCTATTTTTATCAGTAAAACATATAGACATTTCTTGTGCAGTGAATCTTTCCATTTCCATTCTGTTTTTTCCTTTAAGGCTTAAACAATTGAGTCCCACTTGGACTGTGTTTAAAATAAGCTGCTGTGGAAGGATAAGGTCCTTAAAACTTGAGTTAACCATGAAGTTGGATACATAGCAGAACACAACATTTTAATATGAGGACAATAAGCAGTCCACCGTAAACAGTGAAGATATCCACCTTTAAATATAACCATTGCCACTTCCTTTAATCTTACAGATTATATTTGTGCATAACCAGAATCTGTCACAAGGTAGAGACGAAACAGACAAGACTTTTTGTCAGGTTCTTGGCCACCTTTTTATCCATTTGTTCAACCAACCAGTAATTACATAATCGACACAGAGCAACAACAAGATGGCTCCAACCTGAACGACCCATTTGAAAGTGAAACCTCAAATGAGGCTCGTCCATGATGAAAAGACAGACTCGGAGCTTCTCGAGGGGTGAAATGTGGAGTTCGAGGAGAGGACACGTTATCTCAAACATCACTGATGCACATTAACCCGCAAGAAATAATCTCTTCAGTGACACGAGAATAAAAGTCTTGATGTTCTTAATAAATCCGAAACTCTTCTAGCACACACAGACTTTTAAATACTATTCATAAACTAGTTGAGATATAAGCAATATAAGCTTGGATGGGAAACCATTACTGAGAAAACTAGCTTTTACTGTTTGGAACACTCTTCATTTCTAAATGAATCAATCCAGACGGGATTCAGACAGATTGAGTCCATTCTTCACTTTGATGTATTGCAAATGCCTCAAATCCTACTTAGCACATGAAAGAGGAGCATAAACCTCAGAACAGAGAGGGGTAAGATGGGGGAAGGGGTGACACTATCAACATTATATAAGCACTATGTCCTCCTCATGCAATGTCATTTCAATGGCAGATGATTTTAGGAGGGCAGACTGTGTACCCACTCCCAGCCGTGTGATGCATGAATACAAGACTGACTCAAACATGTCTTAACAGGCTTTTCAAAACAAAATAGCCACGGATGAAGAGCTCTCGCTTACCTCCAAAAATGAAAAGCGTGCAGCGGGCTGCACGGACTGCAGGGACTAGTGGGAGTAGGGCTCAAGCTTCGGGGAGTGAGGCTGTAAGTTAAATGGACTGTAGTGAATAGTTGTCTTTTATCACACACATGACAGAACCCCCCCCATATAACCCCCCCTCCCCCTGACAGCTCTGACATGTGCCCAGATGCAGACAGCAGCATCATGAAGAGTAATGACCCCTGTTAGATGGACCAAAATTGTGTTTAAATAGCAGGTTCCCAAGGAATTTGTCTGGTTCTGTATTGAGGACATTGTTTCAATTCAGATCAAAGTCAAAGAAGCAAACAAAGACTTTTGAAAGCTACAGATCAATAAGGGACAGTTATAGATAAACCTAATTTCACAGTCTTTACTGAATTCTTGTGATATAGGTTAGAAATAAAGTCTCCTGTTATTCAAATGATGCAGAAAGACTTTCACTTTAACTATGTGATGTCATGGATTGAGCTCCATTTAAACTGAGCAGTGGCACTGCAGAGCATTAGGTCATATAGAGGTGAGTAACTTTCACTGCAGTGGCAGTCCAAAGTACAGTTTTTAAAGGAGAAGTCTGGTGTTTTTTTTTTTTTCAAATATTTCTTTTTATTTTGCCATAAAAAGACCAAACCAACAACGAATTGATCCGACTAACAAGTACGGTATGCATAGCCTGATAGATCTTGTCCCTCTGTTCAATAGAAACATTAACTGAACCACACTGTTACACTGAGAGACTTGTTTCTTCAGCAAGATGAACATGAGCACTGTAGTTTATTTTCTGCTGCAGTAAATACTCACAAGCACACCAAATGTGTATTAATCCACTGATTAAAACAGTACCCAACCCGTTAGAACATTTGCTAATAACTGCAGTGGCCAGCTGCAAAGTGAAAGTATGTACTGTATTCATAACCCATTTTTAAAGATTTACATCCTCAGAAGGAACCAATGGGCTTGGGGTTGAGAGCAACAGACTCGGCTCGGGAAGTCAGAAAGTACTGAGAGATGAACAATGTTGGTTTTGGTAAATTTATGGCATTTGTTGACAGAAAAATATAGAATATCTCCAGACTTACAGGAGGAGTATATAAACTATAATCAGTTGCTACAGTTCCCTCAAGAATGGTGATTTTGATAATAGAGCAGTCGTCATTAGCCATGAAAATAGGGTACATGTGAAATATACCTCTAGATCTATAGTTTGTAAATGAACATCAACACAATGATGAATTAATTATTTTGTTTTTTTGGAGTGTTTTTCATTGTGTCTCAAAAAATCTGCATAGAAACAAAGCAAATTTAGCATACCTCATCATTCCAATTATGCACTGTAAATTGAGAACCATAACAAATACCTTGTTGACCTAAATAAAAAAAATTAGTAAGTCACAGAAATGACTGTGGCTTTGATAAGAGGGGAAACCTGCCATGTAAACACACAGCCGTCAGTGATTCACTGCTTCTGCCGTATTGATCGCATCCAACAATCATAGGTGTGTTATGAGTATACGTGTGTTTCCTGCGTATGCACTGTGTGAGTGTATGTGTGGTACGCCAGCAAATAAAGCATGTTGTGCTGTTGCGGCACTCCTTTGCGTGACACGTTATCTGTCTGTCTATCACACACACACACACACACGTGCATGAAAACACAAATGCGTGAGCACACACAGACACACAAGCACAAGAAAGACCGCTGTTGCCTAGATGTGAAGGATTTGACATTAGACTTCCTGCTGCAGATGCTGCTGCTAATGCTAACGCTGCACAGAGCTTAAAGCAACAGTGAAAGACAGCAACAAATATGACACAGAGACGGATGAAGCTACAAACTGCTGAGGAGCTGGATAACGGAGGAAAATACTCACTCTAGTGTCAGCCCTGGAATTCTCAGCCTCTCCCGCTGGGCTTTCATGGCTGAACTGTGCTCGTTTGCTCTATTGTGGTCATGATATGCATTCACACTGCCTGCCTCCCGCCCCCCCCTGCACTGACAAAGAGCCAAACCCAGCCACCACAGTGCGATGAGACGGATTGGTTTTCTCTCCCCCCACAAAAAGGGAGGGGGTAAAAAAGGGGGGCTTCGGTTCTTGTTTTGGTCTTTCCACGTTCCACCTTGAAGCTGTCAAATGAGATCCTCAGTCGCCTGCGGAGGGCATGGAGGCAGGACAATACCCCTTCTTCCCTCCCCTAATACACGCCCCCTGCTCCTTCACAAACGCATGCACATTTGTGTGTCCCCCCCAGCTCCTCCCCCCACCACCACAATTCCCCCACCAGCTGGTGACTTGCTACATAGCAAAAATGAAAGCAATAAATTAAATCTACATTTTGCCTGCTCCTCTAACTAACATGCAGTCACCTTGACAGATGCTAACACAAGGCACACACTATACGATGCAATGTCACCACAACCACGCGGATGATGTCATCTTTGAAAGAAAAACATAATGCACCACCACCTGCCAATCCACATCAGTCAGTGTACGGCAAGACAGAGTGCACTCACACCTGACTTCCAATCCCACAATAAAGAAAAATTTTAAATCTAGCATTGTAATTTGTTCATAACATCTAACCTGGCAGGCACATAGAAGCATGAATTGAGTGCTTGTGCTTAAATAAGAGAGATATGAGTGTTGGGTGTGACTGTCACAATGTGAAATCCTAAGTAATAAAGCATGATGACGCACTACAGTGTCCTAGCTCCTGCAGGGATTTAAAAGACCCTAGAGGCTACTGCTTATCATTAGTAAAATCACCCATGATGCATTTTATCCACACTTATTGTTGCTGGCAGGAAATTGTCCAAGGATGAACTACTGCATGACAAAAGAGGTGCCTTTTTTCAGATAATTTGACAACACACTGTACAAAATTACACTACTAAAAATGTGTTTCTAATGTGTCAGCTGCAGTAGCACGAGAAGTATAGAAAGCAAACTAGACAGACACTCAGCCGATGCCTCATCCAGTATACGAATGAATTCTTTATTACTATGAGCATGTTTGAGGAGAAAACAGCCACTGCAGATGACACCAAACACTGCATTAACCACAGAGCTAGTAGTTGAGGCAGGCAGGAAGTAGAGCGTAAGAAAGATGGGAAGTTGTATCTAGATTAAAGCAGGTCAAAAGTTGGCTACAAACTTAGAGGAAACAATATTGCCCGATACGCTCTACTGGCATTTTGATGCTTTCATTTCTTTTTATCTAATACATTTTCCAGCTTACAGCGTGGGTTCAATAAGCTCATCATTGTTCATGGACATTAATGTAGGAAAATTAAATACATTTTAGCAATCCTAGCAAACCTAGCTAATTCTTACAGTGTATAGAGCCTGTGTTTGTCAAAAACCGAAACCTTCTGAGCTGTGACTTCCTGTCAGTAAACACTACTGGCCCTTTCTTCTGAGACACAACTCCAGTGTTTTCATGGTGCAGGGGCAATGCCCCCTGCCCTAAAATGTGTCTTGGAAGATGCAGTGGAGTGAAGAGGACTCAAAAAGAGACATATAGTATAAATATAATGATGATGATGATGATGTATCTAGAAGTATACATGTACAAACAGCAGTAACACTTTGATTGTACATTCCACTAATTCATAAATACTATTAATTCTAATTGCCATTAACATTATAAACGAGTAGTGTGGGACTTTTACTGTCTCTACTTAAAAGGAATACTTTGACATTTTGGGTAATTCACGTATTTGTTTTCAGTCTGAGAGTTAGATGAGAAGATCGATCCCACGCTTCTCATCTCTCAACTCTCAGCAAGAAAGCATATTTACCAAAATATCAAACTATTCCTTTAATATTGGATGTTAATATTAAAGCCTAAATATGTTTTTTGTACAACTGAATAAAAATCAATTTAACATATTTGATATGTTTAGGTAAGTCTGCCCCAGCCTGTCTAAACTTTCCATTAAACTGTCTGTCATTCTTCATTAACCAAATTAAACTTCCCAAATTAAATATATAACTACATCAGTTATTACTTTTCAGAAAAGCTGAAGAAAAGGGGCAAAAGCCTCTCTTTTCAACATCGGAATATTAAGGAGAAGCAATCTCAACTCCAGCTCACTACACACAACATCTCACCATCAGGAGTAAGTTAGTGAGGAACGTTCAGCATGTTATAATCCAGTCTGCTCAGCAGTCCATAAAAAATATTACATTTTAAAATGTATAAAGCCAAGACCATCACCAGGATTAGCTTAAAAGCTTAAATAAATCATAATAAAAGACCAGCACACAAGGTACATCAGCTGTGAGCAGGTGTGTGTACTCTTTGAGATAAGCACATCCTTTCCTAGTTAAAGAGAAATTAGTTAATGAATTAGAACCAGGTTAGCACTTACAGAAAGCAGAGTATGAAATGTATGAACTATATGTCATACAATATATTCAGCTAAGCAAATGAAGCTGGACTGAATTCATTCATTTGTCAAAGTGTTTTTTTGTGTAATTTTTGGCTTTTAGTGAAGGTAGGTGACTCACCAAGGTTTTCATAATAATATATGCCAGCTACTGTACCTGGGGTGAGAAAAACTTTCACTGACTCACAGCACAGTGTGCAGAGGAGCTTCTATTGTTCAGCTTGAATTCATTTGAACTCAGTTCTACCTTGATACAAATGAAGTAGACCCACATTAGTCTCTGCAGCTGAAGGCTGACTGCTTTTGAGTTACACAAAAAGTGGTTCAGAAATACATACACCACCAAATACCATCTTCTTAGTGATCCCTTGGTTTGGAATTAGTATTAAAATAAACCTTTATTTACACATTTTAATTAATGCCACAGCTCTTCTTCTAAAGCTGCTCCGTGGTGGCAATTTCTTGTAACTTCTTGTGACCATGTTGTTTAATTGAGGTCACACCCACAGACACTCACATTATAATACCCTGTTGGTGTGTCTTAGAACAAAGCTGTCTCATTATGAAAGCAGTCAAATGCTCAAATCCTCTGTTTGGCAACTTAAAAACTTATTATAAAAAAAACAGTTATATTCTGGCTCTATAATGACACAGCCAATCCCTTTTAGGAGGAACAGAATAATGGCAAATAATGCCAAATAAGAGTCTATTAAAGCTGCATTAAGTGACTTTTGGCAATTTGGTTGTAGTGCAACTAGATGTAAACAAAACATTGACTTATGACACAGAAAAGATGTTAGCAAACATTAATCCATACCACAGATTAGGAGCAACATTAGCATTCATTTGAGGTCATGTTTGTGTCTATTTGACGAATATAAGTCGAACATTCACTCTTCTTTTAGCTCTGTTTAGGTTTGTACTTGTACTCCAGTAACAAGCGACACTACTCACGTAACATAGTCATTTATTCCATTGTTTATATAAATAATATCGATTAGTGCAGCTTTGAAGTTGAAATACATAACTGATGACTGAGGTGTTGAAGGACAATGTGGTACAAAAGTCTGCCAAATCAGCAGTGCCACCTAGCAAAGTGTAACACTACTGTGCCTATGCTTATCTTTCAATGTATACAACATCATTCAAACCAGTTTTTAAGAAAGAGATTCCAAATATTTACCAAAGCTGTTGCTAAACCCGACCTCTACCAAAAGTTATACTTTCAATCTATGCTGTATTACTTCAATAAATTAACATTTACAATAGACACACATAGAAATAAGGTACTATATCGGAGTAGATTAGGGAGTGTTTGCAGGAGCAAAGTAACACATGGCAAATGGAGCAAGAGTTGTGTTAGGGGAGTACTGGAAGAGGCAGGTCTTCAAGTCATTTCTAAAGGCAGAGAAGGATTCTGCTGATGAGTAAGGAAACTCGTTTCACCACCAAGGCAGCACACAGGAGTTCGGTTTGAAATTTCCTACCATCACAGTAACAGCAGGACTAGTCATCATTCATTATCTGATCAAGTCAGCAGCAACATATACTGTAAACAACCAGAACTAGCATATATTTCATGCAAGATACAGTTGATATAAAAACCTCAGGGAGGACTCCAACTCTAAAGCTACAACTCAAAGATCTCAGTACACGGTTAACCTCTAACTTCATCTGCAGTGATCAAGTTCATGAAGTATGACTGACAACATCTGTTAAATTGAATATCACCATAAAAAGACCATGTAACATAATCTGCAGTCAACAGTTCCTCTTTGATATCCTGTTGCATGGCAGACAGCTGATTTAGTTGGGCAGCACAACAGCTTTGGTCCTTCAGAACCTGCAACAGGCTGTGTTTTTGTGCAGATGGTCAGAAACAGGAATAGGATCCAATATAATCAAATGAGTGCGCCTTGAAGTGCCAACACATACAAATGATTGATTTTCAGTAATTTTATTGGACCCAGCAAAAGACTTCCAGTTATTAAGGTCAACCTATAAATAGGTTCCAGTAATCGCTCAACTAGAATGACCCATGTTGAAAACAACTTCACATATGACCTAAAAAAAAAAAAAAAAAAAAAAAAAAGGTACAATCCATCTCTCTTGTGACCGTGGAAAAGGTATTAGAGTAATAAATGCCCAGGATGTAAAGAGTTTATGGAAGAGGGTAACCTTGGTAATTAACCGGTATTGACAGCAGCCAGCATGTTAATGACATCAAATGTTCAGTAGATGGCTCTGTGTCACAGGAAAACCTCTGTGAGATTTCAGTGCTCTCCATTTGACAAACTGAGCCAACAGGGATACAATTCAAAAAGTTAAGTTCCTTTTTTCATGCACTTTTTTTTAATTGTGATTAGAGTCTGGCAGTCCCAGATTATGCATGTTTATCATGAACATTGTTTGCATGTTACCAACTTCAGCTTTTTCCTACTCATCAATATCAACATTTCACCTAAACCCAAAAATAAGGCACATAAGTGACACAGCAGTCAGAGATTACAGAACACCAATCAAGAGAAGTACATATATCTATCTCACAAAATATTGGACATACTAATGTGTTACTCCATCCTCACTTTTCAGATGACAAATACAATTTTTATTAGCAATTTAAATAAACTGAAGTTATGATGAATTTGAATCAACTTTGTCATATCCAAACACCATTACTATGGTTACCAAAGTCCACAGAGGCTCCAGCACTCTAAATATAAACCGGTGCGGTTGGTGATCTCACAGCAGCGTGTTAGTAATGGCTCACCTCTATTACAGTAGGTGCCCCCTCTGGTGAGGTGACAGCGAGAGCAACAAGGTGTCATGGGTAAATCTTTCTCCACCACCACCAAACTAAACCAAAATCAATATCTGGAAAGTCTATTATGCCTTCATCTGGGTTAAAAACTGTATTTCATCTGGTATATCAATGACTCTGTACTATCTTTAATAACCTACTAAACAGACCAAGCAAGCATATGGACAGTTTAATTCACTGTACACATCCTCTCATTCTAATGACCAGATAGACCATTAAAAGAATAGTAGTGATTGACGTATTTCACCATGAAATCCAAACTGATAGTGGAATGAAAGTGAATTCATCCACGTTTTGATCCTGACAGAAACTTCAAACATAAAGTAGATCATATTTATCAAGAAATATTTGAAGAATTGACATTTTTCTGGTGTCCAACACTGAACCACGTTGAGCAAACACCTCAAGATGACCTGTAATAAAAGTGTGGGAAAACAATGCAAATCTGTGGAAGAAGTTTCACTCTAAAACAGCTATATAGCTCAAACTGTAAGCAAAATGAACCCCAGGCAAACAGGTGGAAACTGGAGAAATATCCTGGATATGTCCAGTCCAAGGTACATTTTGGAGAGACATATTTGAATTATTTGAATAAGTACTGGGTTTAAAGCTCCCTAGAGACCTGCTGTTTGCCATCTTTGGGGCATCTCCAGAGAAAATGGGAGACAATATAAAGATATATTCATTGCACTTGCTGCCGGCAGCTGCCACAACACTGAACCAAGAACGAACCTCCAACCAATGACAAGCAATAATCAGTAATTAAAAGGAAGAAGTAACTTTTAGGTTGAGATTACAGAACGCACCATTCACAGAGAGCAGTCGGTTTGGTTGAAAGCAACACAAGAAGTTGGCTCAAAGTTTGTACTTGTTTATGTATTGTATCCCTTCTTTACTTATTTTATTTGATCATTTATCTCCAGGAGGAAAAAAATGGACGATTACGTCAATATTGAAAACTTAAAAACACAGTATGATTACTAACTCAAACTCAAACTGTATTTTGCTTATTGGGAAGCTGATTTACATCAATTTACACTTACACTGACTGAACACAGTCACCGAGAGTACACTGATTGATAAAATGTGACCGAGAAACTGCAGAATATGTGAAACCCGTAAGAACAACAAGAACCTGTCCGTTCTAATGTGCAGTGCCATCCACATTAGTTGTGTGACTATTTTAGTAAATCCCTGTAAAATGAGTTTATAATGCAGGTTAATGTCACACAATCTATGTAGCTGATTCATTCTCATAGAAATCTGAAAATCTAATATCATGATAATGATTTCAATTATATCATACAGTCCTACTATGTAATGCTGTGCTCAGCATATAGAAGTAACTTTTAACTTTACACATAAACTTAAGCTTATTATAGTATCTGCACTCACAATGTAATAGACAGTGTGACAAATGGAGGTTAAGGTTTATTACATGGTATTCCTGATAACCAACTTCTCAACCCACTGAACTGAACAGATATTTGGGTACTTACAAACTGCCTCTTCTCGGTAGACTCAGCTCTTTCTGTAAATGAAAAGAGAAGAGTTATTAGTACAAAAATGTAAAACTTTAGTATAAACTTTAAAAGACTCGTCCGTTACTGTATGGGACACCTCTAAACACGAAAAAAGGTTATCTATATTTATGCAAAGCAGATGAATTTTGACAGATTCATGAAACTAGATCGGAAGATGCCCTCAGATTTGTGTGTTTTCATAAATGACAAGCTAAGCAGCAAGAATACTCATTGGATTATACAAAAGTGCAGTATAATTGTAGTATAGCCTCAGAAACACAGTCAAAATAGTCACTGATGAACACTAAGACAACACTGGCAGCCTGCTATTCTGCTGCAGCAGCAGCCGCTTTTTTGCCTCGCAAACAGCCACCATATGGAAAGAGATCACAGAGCAGGTGTGAAACTGTTACATCCCATCCCAGAGAAATGGGCAAGAAAGCATCTGGATTTTACTTTTTGTTCAATTTACATCACAGCTGAATCAAGTGCACATGAAGGCCATGAAGGACACCGCTCTTACAAACCCATTTCCTGTCGTGTACACTAGACTCTCAAGTAAGAGGCATCACACGCTCAGAAATATTGTGGGAGTTAAGTCTTGATTTTTGGAACACATATCTGTGGTCAAAAAACACGATACTGTGTATACAGTACAGTATGTTATTGAACAGTAGAAGGCAGAGTTACACAGAGGTCAGGGTTCAATAGCCCAGAAAAAGGGCCAACAATACAGTCATTGATTTCTTGAGGGATTATGCCTTCTTACAGGCTGGTTACTTAAAGGATAATACAGCTGGCAAATATTTGCAATATTGCAAAGTCCTTGCAGTCATTACCCAACTTTGACTCAACTTGTGTATACAGTCAATGTATACAGTCTTCGATCCCAAAAACTATTTCTGTATGTACTGTATAATGGGGGTAATATGGGTTAAATGTGAACCTGTGACTCTGAACTGGGGCCAATGTAGGACAATACTAACATCCAGGTAAACTGTTTGAGATATCTCAGGCACAAGTATGTCATGATATAAGAACATTTATCTTTATTTATTACTATTACTGTCATTTATTGTACTCAGGGTTGGCAGGGTTACTTTAAAAATTTAATCCGATACAATTACTAATTACCTGTTAAAAAATTTAGTCAGTGACCTATTCCAAGTATCATAAAATTAAACTAACGTGACCTGATTATGTTCATTACTTTCCGTTACTCCTCTTTGTTTTCAATTGACTGTGTATCATCTTATTGAGTTTTCATTGTAAATAACTTGCAATGTTCTTGCAATTATACTGTTATAAAAACAGTATTCGTGTTTCTACAGTGCAGTTGTATTGTGACAAGAAAGTACAACAGGTTAGAGTTCAGAACATCTTATTGGCAGTTATTTTGGCCCAATACAAAACCACAATGTCTTTGAGTCCTTGTATGATTTTAAAATGATCTTACTTGCTTTAAAAACATCATGTTCCAGCCTATTTGTCTGACATGCTTTGAACCTGAAAGACCCCTCACCTCACCTCTGGCACAAATCTATTAGTTGTTCCAAAATGCAGGATGAGGAAGCTTTTAGTTTTTCTGCTCTAAGCTGATGGAAAAGCTCCTCTGTTGATATCTTTGATCTTAAAACCAACCTTTTTTTGAGCCTGGCTTTTGATAAAAAAAAATGTTTTCATTTTATTCTAATTATTTTTAATTATTATTGTATTCGATGTATTTAATTGTTAATTGATTTACTGTTATATATGCATGTACTGTTGTACTATTATGAACTTATCTGTAAAGCACTCTGAATACTACACAAACACATTTTGAACTCATTCGATTTTCTATTGAGTGACCCACAAGTTATTGAGTTCAAAACTGTTGCATAACGAGTGGGCCATGGGCTTGTTCAGTAGGTTTAACAAGCAAAGTAGTGTCTGTAAAAATATTAAGGTTAGGCTGTTGACATAAACAAACTAATGAAAACTGCATGCATACAACATGCTGTTTGTTATTCCTTGTAATGATGCCTCTTCTTAAACCTGGTATTTTATCTATTCTATTTTGTTGACTGGACACAATTTTAGAAAACCATACCATTGAACTTGTGCTCTTACCATTGGTGACTACCTACATAAACAGAGAGAACTTAGCAAGTGTTTTTGTGAGGTGGCAGAAGGGACTCAACGGAACACCTTGAAATATGTTGCTCAGCTACTTCACAGAACTGAAATAACAAATTTCATTAAAAGACATATTTCTCTGACAGCTGCCAGGAACGAATAAGTAAAATACATCAGAGCACAAATGATGCTGCTGCAGCCTCTGCTGACGTGTCCGTGCCACATGGAAAGCCATGCAAGCCATGGACTAACGTGAGCCACAGTGACAGACGAGCACACTGTGTACACATCACTATATCCGTCTTAGACTTAACACAGCTGCATGTTTAATTACAGTAGTTTCTTTTAAAGAAGCAGGTTGTTTTATCACTCATTTATATCAGCAGTGTGAAGACAAAGACAAAGTTCTACAGCTCGGATTATTTCAAATCTCTCCCTCCTGGACCTGTCCTCTTGCTGTAAAAGAGCACTGACAAATAACCAGGCTTTGGATCGGTTTTGTTTTGGGACTACAAATCCCAGTGATTTGATCATTAGACATTTCATTATCTTATAACAACCTGATAAGGGTGAGGTCCTTTGTCTCAAACAGTGTAGGACATTGAGTTGATGTGTATTGGCTGCTCCAGTCAGCAGAAAAACTGCTAAGCCCCACTCTCCCTTTGCTATCAATTAGGGCTTAATGTCTGGCTTCCCCTGCTGCCTACAGAAGACCAAGGGCAGACAGCTTCCTTGGGAGACATGACCGCAGCTCACACAACACTAATTACCAGCAGGGAATGACTTACACTGATGGGATATCCACCAATCACAGTGCACCAAATAACAGTGTCTAAAATAACAATTTGAGAGGAAAAACACGATGATAATAAACCAATTTATTGAAAAATGCATGTATTCATGTGAAATCAATTCATGCCTCAGTAAAATATTTACATAAAGTGAAATAAATGTCTTGTAATGAGTTGCTTATTTATGCTTTTGATGCTTGATGCTTTTGACAGCTTTCTGAGTAAGCATAGCTTGGGTAGAAGAAGAGGTCTTTTACTGACAGCAAGTGTATTGAAAGTGTGTGACTTGGTTTTAATGAAAAAGAGTGGTGAGACGCATCAAAAACACACAAACTCTTGTTTGATTTTCTTTTTCTTGTATAAATAAAGCAGCTCTGATTGGACATACATTAGAAAACCAAATGAATGCACTTATTCCAGCAACACAACACCACGAAAAATTCTATTTCAAAAGATTATGCAAAACCAAGATACACTGAGCTTATATGGCGATAACTCTAGCTAACAACATTATAGCCCACTACCATACTTGCCAAACAAATCCTCAAACTCATTAAAGTTATCATCCATTTTTGATACTATACATAATCAGCATTTTTTCAGCAATAGCCATTCAATAAATTCAATTAAATTACATTTTGTGATTACTTCTCTATATTGTAGTTTTCATTGTAACTGGAGGGGTCTACCATTCCCACGTGGAATTCTAATTGCATCACATTCACAAAGGACTCACAGAAAACATGAACACATGTAATTCAGCATCACTGTTTGTAATTCTATCTCACTGTTCACTTCTAACACTGCACCAAAGTCCTAAAAAATTACTGCTAATGCAAACTGCACATTCCCTACTGCTGCTAGTTCACATTAAAAGCATTCTACTGCAGAAAGACACCATAAACGCAATGTTTGTCACCAAGGTTAGCACTAACAGCGATTGTTCATCAAAAATGCATCTAAAAAACAAGACCTGGACATTTTCCAGCACACAACCAGCTCCACAGCAAAGTAACCACCTACTCACACATGAAATCATGTTGTGGTTCCTCATGGCATGATGGAAAAATGACAACTATTGAAGGATTCATTTATTCAAACAAGAGTTTGTCACTCTAAAAAGACACACTATTTGCTCTTGTTTTGTTTTTCTGGCAAAACAGCTGCTCATGGACCGTTTGCCTCTTGGAAATCTGGGACCTGTGGTATTAAACCACACTTGCTGTTACCACCAGTAACCACAGATGTCAAAATAAAATAAACCAGGACAGAAATCTTAAGGATTATAATCTAAAGGAGGATTTAAAGGATTGTTCTGTGGTTAACCTCGGTAACATTAGCAGACACCATGGAAACATTTTCCTTTTCGCCCTTCATTGGTCAGTGGTCTTCACCTCTTGCTTCATTATCCCTCACAAACATTTCTCTTGATGTGCTAAGAGTCAGAGTGGAGGCTGAGCTGTGTGCCAGTGTCATGGTCAAACAATGTTTCTGACTCACTCGGCTGCAATATCAACAGCACCAAGACTCAGACAGACAGGAGAAATTAATTCATGACAGACCGTCTTGGCACAAGTACGTGCAGTACTTTTTTTAAAGCACACCTTGCGTGTAAAGTTACAAAAATACTTTCACTTATATAGATCTTAGATCAGTGAATTTTCCACTTTACAGTCACTTTACTGATAGAAATACATGCTGTGTAATACATAACTTCTTTTCACTTACATTTTATAAATATTGTTTCTTCAGCATATTCTCAAGTAATTCTAACTAATATTGTCATTGCATTGATCTTTTTCAATTCAAGCCATTGTTTAAAGATTATGTTTTACAGATTATATCTAGCAAACTTTGAGGTTTGAAACCTTTGTACAAATGAATAAACTCAACTTAGAAGTCTTAAATTTGAATTTCTTTCAGATTTGAAAGAGTGAAGCAACAACCCTAATGTGTGTTTTCAGTCAGAATAAGGCTTCATATAAATACAAGTATTTCCATTTACGTTTACGATCCATAAGAGGTTGAAAAGCTGTCAAATAGGCAATACAAACTGGGAGTAATTGCACGAAAACCTTTCATCTTTGAAAGTTGTCCGTCAG